ACACACTCTAATTTTAAAAGAACAATTTCCTTGGTCATTGATTGGCGGCTTTCAGATTAAAGCATGTTTGCAAAGCTCACTGCTTTAGACATTTCTTTCTGCTCTCTTTCCACACGCTGTTTTAGACAATAGTAAGTTGATGGAAAAGGAATCCTAAATAAATCTTAATCTGATGTAACACGGACTTTTTAAAGGTTCTTCAAATACTTTATTCATCAGCAACCTGGATTCTTCATCACCAGCCTGGGATATTCAACTGTAAATACAGGGGTAGGCAAAAATAGGTTTACAGTTGTATGGAAAATAATCCAATAATTAATAATAAAAGAATAAACTGTGTTTTGAGTATTCACAACTGTAAATCTACTTTGCCCTCCCCTGTACAGCCAAGGCGAAGAGTACACCGTTACTCCACCCACGCTATGAAACAGGGATGCTGAGGAGTGAGACGCGGTCCTGCACGCACACAGTTCTCGCCCTCAAGAAGGAGGCAGGCCCTCAAACCGGGAGGGCGGCAGAGTGAGAAGGCAAGCGCCCTGCGTCTGTCAGAGAGCCGGGAAGACCAGGCAGAGGCGGCGACTCTGTCTTTGAATGACATCTTGTCTTTATTTTAAATATCTCACTGCAAAACCTATATTAAAATAACAAAACTATAAATTGCCTACGCCCCCACAGTTTAATCAAATTTTCGTGTGTCCACATTCACACCATTATCTGAGTAGTTTTACAGTCTATATTTTCACTTATGTCATTAGTATTTTTCCATTTCACTAATTTTTTTCCTTATTCTCCACTCACCCCCCTGAGATAAACAATGAACCAATGTTCACAGCCCAGGGAGTTATTGTTCTACATCTTTCTCTGTTTGATTCATCCTATGGCGGCGGGGAGGGTGGACTAGAACAACATCTAAATCGGAACAACTAACTCCCCCCTCCCTTTCTTGTTCCCCTGACATACCCAGCGTTCAGCCATAAAAGCCCTTCTGGGTTTGGGGGGTTTTCTATTGTACTTTATTTTTTAATTATATTTTCTTGATTATGCTATTACAGTTGTCCTATTCTTTCCCCCCTGGTCCCCCTTCACCCAGCACCCCCACTTCCTCCAGCAACCCCACACCATTGTTCATGTCCATGGGTGCCGCGCAGGTTCTCTAGCTGCTCCATTTCCTGTACTGCTCTCCTCATCCCCATGGCCACTCTGTAACTACCTATTTGTGTTTCTTAATGCGCTCACCTCTTCACCCAGTCCCCCGCACCCCCTTCCCATATGCAGCCATCAAAATGCTCTCCATATCCATGACTGTCTGTTCTTCCTGTTTGCTTAGCATGTTTTTTATTCAGTTGGTGATAGATATGTGTTTTCACCATTTTGCTGTTCATAGTTTTGATCTTTTTCTTAAATAAGTCCCTTTAACATTTCATATAATAATGGTTTCTTGATGCTGAAATCCTTTAGATTTTTCTTGTCTGGGAAGCTCTTTACCTGCCCTTTGATTCTTAATGGTAGCTTTGCTGCAGAGAGCAACCTTGGCTGTAGATCCCTGCTTTTCATGATTTTGAATACTTCTAGCCTGCAGAGTTTCTTTTGAGAAATCAGCTGACAGTCATGGGAAGTCCCCTGAGGTAACTAACTGCTCTTCTCTTGCTGCTTTTAAGATTCTCTTTTTATCTTTAACCTTTAGCATTTTAATTACAATGTGTCTTGGTGTGGGCCTCTTTGCATCTATCTTGTTTGGGACACTATGCTTCCTGGATTTGTATGTCTATTTCCTTCTCCAAATCAGGGAAGTTTCCTTTCATTATTTTTTCAAATAGATTTCCAATTTCTTGCTCTTTCTCTTCTCCTTCTGGCACCCCTATGATGTGAATGTTGGACCTCTTGAAGTTGTCCCAGAGGCTGCTTATACTGTCCTTGGAGGTTTTTTGTTCTGTTTTTTTGTGTGTGGTTTTTGGGTTTGTTTGTTTTTTTTTGGATTCTTTTTTCTTCTTGTTGTTCTGAATGGTTGTTGCTCCCTTATGTTCCAAATTATTGATTTGATGCTCAGCTTCATCCCCTCTACTGTTGTTCCCCTGTAATTGCTCTTTAATCAGTGTATCCTTCATTTCTGACTGGGTCTTTTTTATGCTGCTGAGGTCCTCACTAAATTCCTTGAGCATCCTTATAAAGTGTTTTGAACTGTGCACCTGATAAGACTGCTCATCTCCATTTTATTTAGTTCTTTTTCAGGAGTTTTGACCTTTTCTTTCATTTGGATCATGCTTCTTTGCCTGCTCATTTTAGCATCCTCCCTGTTGGTTTCTATGTATTAGGTAGAGCTGCTTTGACTCCCTACCTTGGTAGCATCACCTAATGCAGTAGCTGTCCTGCAGGGTCCAGTGGCACAACCTCCCCTACTACCCAAACTGGATACTCAAGGTGCACCCTTCATGTGGGCTGAGTACACCCTCCTCTTGTAGTTGAGACTTGATTGCTCTTGGCAGGTCAATGGGAGGGATTTACCCAGGCCAGTCAACTGCAAGAACTGGCTGTGACCACTGACCACCGAAGTCCACCCTTCGCAGAGGATCAGCTGTGCAGGGACAGGGAGAGAGTACTCCAGCATGGTCTGTAGCCATCCACTGGGTGTGCAGACTCTGGGTTTTCCCAGGTGGTGCAGGCTCAGGTCAGCCCCCACCTCTGTTTTGCCCCGGGCCACACTACCTGAGCTATAAAGCGATCTGAGTAAGATGGCTGCTACTTGTGCTGGGCTTGGAGAGTCCCAGGCAAAGCCGTCACTCTAGGCTGGTTGTGGCAAGTGCCAGGCCTGTGGCCACTCAGGAAGAGGTACAGGGGCTGTGAGTTCACTGAGGCTGGCTATTACTTGCTTGAGAGGATTTAGGAAGTGGTGAAACATAAGCCAAGACCAGCCATTCATATGGAAAAGCAGCCTGGGTGGGCCCATAGGTTGGGTGGGATGGAGTCTCAGGGGTCTCCAGGGCGGGGCAAACAGCATTAGCCAGATTGATGGAGTCTCAGATATGGTACCAGCCTGCCAGACCTGCACTGGCAGGAGAGTTCAGAAAAGGGACATGATCTCTGCCTGCCTCTCTGTCCCCCAGCTCTCGCCTTGATGCCAGACACTTCGTTTCCTCCCTGCATGCCACTGGTGCCTTTCAAGCTGCTACCCTAGTACTGGAGCTCAAAGGGAATGAGTCTTGAGTAAGTCTGTGTGTGGGTTAAGAGGAACTGATTGGGGCTCCAAAAGTTTCTCCCACTGACTCAATTCCCATTTGTTTTTGCAGCCAGAAGTTGTGGGGACTTATCTTCCAGGCACTGGAACTCTGGGCTGGGGGTCTGGTGTGGGGCTAGGACTCCTCACTCCTGGGATACCCCTCCCAAATTTCTATCCACCACATGTGGATGTGGGACCAGCCCGTTCCATGTCTCCACCCCTCCTACCAGCCTGGATGTGGTTTCTTTAATTTCATGGCTGTCAGATTTCCATTCAACTCAATTTCTGACAGTTCTGGGTGATACTTATTATATATATTTTAGTTGTAATTTGATGTTGTTGTGCAAGGAGGCAAGATGTGTTTACCTATGCTACATCTTGAGCAAAAGTCCTGTTTTATGTTTAACTCTAAAGAGAATAGTTTCCTAGGTCTTTGCTCCAGTAGACACCATTTCCCTCCCACCTGCTTTGCTGAAAATAACCAGAAGGAGAAACCACAAAGGTTAACTTCCAAGAAGCAAGGGTCCTAGATCCACAACTGCTCCGTGGATCACAGCAGCAGTCTGTGAACCTTCTCTGCTGCTCCTTATGCACGAGTGCTTTTCATTCTATGGTTCTTCCCTCCCTCCGACAAATATGTTCTCTCCCCACCTCGTCACTCCTTTTACTGTCTCAGCTCACACTTGAGCCAAAGTAGCCCATCAATAACATAGCCTCCCCATTCAGCAATTCTGCCGTTCTGCTCAAGCCCCCTCGTTTCCTGGTTCAGTTTCTCAGGTTCACCTTATCACACCAGACATGCTCTTTTCGCACCAGTCTTATCAGCTATGGCATCGAGAGGAGGGAAGAGCAGTGTGACAACAGGGTCCACAACTGTCCTTTCAGCAAGGATGACGGAAGGAACATTTCGTCTCCCTAGGGCAGCCTTGGCCATGAGGCCTCTCAGTCAAAACCACTGCCTTTCCTCATAAGGTTCTGCCTTGTTCACACCTTGCGGTGCCTCTGAAAAAGCAGTTTAAAAGGTCAACTGTTCACTTAATTGCTACAGAGTTGACTGAGACTTCAGATCTGAAACGTGTTCTTGATTCAGCTTCAGTAGAAGGCAGGGAGGTGAGGAAGCAATCCCTCAGCCTGCCGAAAAAGGCAAAGTGGACTTAGTGTGATGCATCACAGACCTGCCAAGGCATGGCCGCCGATCCCACCTCTGGGCCCTCACACACACAGGGCCAACCAAGAGAACAGACTTCACGTCACCCATGGCGTTAGGTCCCAGCTCTGCCATCTCCTGCTGGTGTGATACTGATGTGATACTGAGGAGGTCCACATTTTCAGTCTTATTTTCCTCATCTCTAAAATGAGGTAATTTCTTTAAAAAATAGTGACTTCATATAAGTAATTACAAGTCTTAAAACATTAAATGTAAAATAATTTTAAAATCCTTTCATGCCTAGTGAGCGTTATGTAATTGCTGGTATAATCAATTTGCCATTTAGTTTTCCAGCCCACAGAAAGTCCTCGTTAACTAAGTGAATGATCAATTTTCCATCAACAGGAAAAGAAATCAGCCGCAAAGTCACCAACGTTTCTTGGATTCCAGCTGCTGGCCAATGGTGCCAGATCTGCAGACACAAAACTAAAGAAGTATTTTCTTTCACGAAGTAGTTTTAAGCCTCCGAGTCCTCCAATCCTGAAAGTGTAAATCAGGGACTTTCAATGAAGGAATAGGCTTTGCTCAGAAGTATCTAATTAAAAAGGGAGGGTCGGGGAGTAGACAAAAACACATTGATTTTTTGGCTACCTTTATTTATAAAGAACACAACTCTTCCTCCTGACACAGAAACAAACACACATCCAAGGAGGAACTCATTAAAAACAACAACAAAAGAACTAGGAGACAGTGGGACCTTATTTAACACCAGACTGTGTACCTGGCTCAGAGATCACTGGGAATATTTCCTCAGATATGACCTCTCGCCTCAAAGAAAAGAAGAGAGACCTTGATCTTGAGGGTCCATCTATCCACCAGGCAAAAAGCGGCACTCTCAGTCTTCAGCATCGTCAAACTGTCCAGTTTCAAAGACCATCTTAGAATAATGGGGTATCAGTGGAGGTGGGTGGTGCCAACTGGGGTCATAGAGCATTTCTCCTTGCGGGGCACAGCACACCCAAGGTTTGACCTCTTGAGAAATGCAACCCTGGATGTCGTCAGCATCTGCAGGTCATTTTAAAAGACAAGATTAAAGGAAGGAGTGAGGTGAAAACAAAAAGCCAAAAAACATCCAGGAGAAAAATACTTGCACTCTGTTTAAACACAAACACACACAGTCGTTTCCCAAAGAATTGCAAGCATGTTCTTTCTGAGGCAACCCATAGCTGTGCTTCTCAGCCAACGGCTCTTGGCAGTGCAGGGGAAGCGACCGGATAAGAAGGCCCTTCTGTCTGCAGCTGCTCAGTTCACACAAAGATATTTGGAGAGAGTAACATTGTTTCAAGGGTAAAACTAACTGATACATTATGGAGTCAAATGTAAAATTCGCATGTTTGTTTGTTTTTTTCAATGTGAAAAAGAAGCTGTCACAGGAATTGCAGATCTGTCATAGACATCAGGCTAGCAAATGTGGCCCCTCTTCTAAACTGTCTGCTTTTAGGGGTAACCTGATAGCAGGGTCTAACACCCTGGCCTAGGACCCCAGACACTCCACACCTACCATATGGATTCCCTTGATCTGCTTTCAACTCCAAGTCCCAGTCCTCATTGAGAAGATCAGCAGCCTGTTCCCTGGGCAGACAGCCGGACACCCTTTCTGACGGCTCCCAGGGATTCAGCTCCCCATCAGAGTCTTCATCACCCACAGCAAAGCCTTCCTCTTCAGGATGCGGGCCCCCGCCACCGGCAGGACTATCATTAGGGATGCTCTGTGCTCCACTGGCTAAGAAATCCACAAAAGGAAAAAGGTCTCAAAATAACTGGCAAACTAGGGGGCCCACAACTCTGCTTTGGAAATTTGTGGCAGACTTACTAAGAGGGCAGCAGTAAAACAACCATACAGAGATCTTTAGCCACCTGAGTACTTTAAAAAAAGAAAAAAGGTTCTATTGACATTTTTAGAAATAGAGTTGATCAATTATATTCAATAGGATACGTTGTCTTAAACAAAGCCATTAATTGCCCAGTCTTGTAATTCACACAGGGGGTCAGGTACAGCTTACATTTGTAGGGAGCTTACGTGTCATTAAAGCAAGTGATAAACTTTCACAATACAGGTGTGAATTGAATTTTTGCTCTTCTATTCCTCTTCCCTTCATCCAAAGAGCATGTAGGAGGTGAGCACAGGACAAGTGAGATTAGGAGAACAGCAGGCAGAAGCCCTCTGACCACAAAGGACAGCCACCACGGCTCCTCCCCTCAACATGAGAAGGCTGGAAGGCACATTTTTAAAAGGTCTCAAAATAGTGGGAGAAACCTAGGAGAGGATAAAGAACCCCCAGCACACAGTGCTACGGTGCTGCCAGGTCAGAGCTGGGAAAGGAATCAGCCTATTAACACTACATAACAGTGACAGCTACAAGGAATAAAGTAATACTTCAGGGTATGTGCTTTGGAGCCAAACTGCCTGGATCCAAATCCCAGTTCTGCCAATTACTAAAAGTGTTACGGAGCTTAAATATACTCAACTGATTCCCACAACAGCTTAAATACAGAATTAACATACAGCCCACTCCTAAATGTATACCCGAAAGAATTAAAAACAGGTGTTCAAACAAAACTTGCATAGAAATGTTCATTGGAGGACTACTCACAATCACCAAAAGGTGGAAACAACCCAAATATCTACCAACTGATGAATGGGCAAGGAAAATTTGGTTTATACATAGGATGGGATTTCAGCCATAAAAAGGAATGAAGTATAGGCATACTTCGTTTTATGGCATTTTGCTTTATTGCACTTCACAGATTTTTAGAGGCAAAACCCTCTACCAGGAAAAAGATTACAGCTAGCTTTATTGTAATAGTAGCTTTATTGCAGTGGTCTGGAACCAAACCCATACTATCTTTGAGGTATGCCTGTACTGATACATGCTCCCTGAATTAATCTTGAAAATGTTATGCTGAAAGAAGCCAGCATAAAAGACCACACAGTGTATGATTCCATTTACATGCATTTTACATTTACCTGTCCAGCATAAGCAAATCCAGAGACAGAAGGCAGATTAGTGGTCGCCAGGGGCACAAGGAAGCGGGCAAGGAGGTGTGACTACCTACTGGGCATGAGGTTTCCTTTGGGGGTGATGAAAATGTTCTGGAACTAAGTAGTGGTGGTGGTTCCATAACAATTCTAACTACTGAATGCCACTGAACTGTATGCTTTAAAATTGTTAAATGGTAAATTTTACGTTATGTGACTTTTACCGTAAATTTTTTTAAATTTTTACTCTGTGCCTCAGTTTCCTTCTCTGTTAAATGGAGATATGATTGTTGTAAGAGTTTTTAAAAACACAAAACGAGAAAAGAAACACTTAGAATTATGTCTGGCGCATACTGAGAACTCAGTAAGTGTTAGCTGTTATGACAATACCTATGCGCTTGGTGCTTTATCTGTACCAGCACTATCCAACAGCACTTCCTGTGATGAGGGTGATGTTCTATAATCTGTGCTATCCAACAGGCTAGCATGAGCCACGTATGACTATGAGCACTTAAAATGTGGTTAGTGCAACTAATTAAATATTTCATTTTCTTGTATTATAATTAGCTTCAATTAAAATGGCACCAGAATCAATTATAGTTCTAGATCTTCTCATCCAATTCTCAGAACAACCCTATGTGGTATTATTATTCCCATTTTAAAGATAAAGAAAAGATATCCCTGGGTGGTACGGCTCAGTGGATTGAACACTGGATGGCAAACCAAAAGGCCAGCAGTTCGATTCCTGGCCAGAGCACGTGCCTGGGTTTTGGGGCAGTTGCCCTGGTGGGGGCATGTGAGAGGCAACTGCCTCTCTCGCAGATTGATGTTTCTCTCTTCCCCTCTCTCTCTCTCTAAAATAAATAAATAAATAAATAAATAATGGTAATAATAATAATAATAATAAAGAAAAGATAAGTGACTTATCTAAGGCCACAAAACTCTGAGGCCGGGGCTCTGACTCGGAGCTGAAAGTGGGAACAACTCTGCCTGACTACAAAGCCTATATCCCTTCTGCTTCCCTAAGGTGCCTTCCTCAGCAGAAAGGATAAGTTCGGACACAAGTTCAGGACATCCCTTAAGGAAGCTCCAGTGGGGCTTCCAAACAAGGGCACTACTGAAACAAGAGGCAGAAAAGGCAATTTGGCAGCTAGGAGGAGGACCCGCTAGAAGGAAGGTAAGCAAGACAAAGGGACTGTCCCTTGTTGCTTCCGGGGTCTCTCCCAGCATTCACCCAGTCTCTGCCATCTACTTGCCTAGGCGATCCATGGCCTTCTTTGTCTCTCTCTCCTGACCGGAGTGGTCATCTGGGCCAAAGCCAGCCTGCCGGGAGAAGAAACAATTACCCAGGACTTGGACATCTGGGCTCTCCCCAGTATTAAGCTCTTGTCTCAGCCACCAACCCATTCACCCATATTCCCCCCACCTTTGCGCATGGAGCTGAGACTCTGCAACCCTGGAGGCCTTACCCCACCGACACGTCACCCCTGGCAGCAGGAGCACCTTCCTACAGCGGCCGCGAATCCAACCTATAATTTGCCAACACTTGCAAAGCCAGCCTCATCACCTGGCCCTGTGATCAGAGCTCTGACTCCCAGGCCCTCAGGATCCCTCCTGCAAGCTCAGAGGCCCCAGCACTACCTGGGGTGGTGTCCCCTCCTCAGAGGCTGGAGCTTCAGCTCTGCAAAGCCTCTCCTCTGAGCTTGTAAATTTTAACCATTCCAACCTCCTTTCTTTGTTCCCTCAGCCAGAGGGTTGGTAGCTGTTTCCTGCAGTTGCTACCTCCAGGTTCTTTTTTAACTTTTCAGTTGCTTAACAACTACTTATCTAATTAACAACTCTTTCTATCAAATTCTCAGTCTCCTGACTGATACATGGAGGCAAGGAGCTTTACTTTCTCTACGACGCTGAAGGAAATCTTTTTTCCCCCACACCCAACAGTAGGTCTCTGTTCTCACCACTCCAAAGTTCCCAAAGTTCTGTCACCTCCGAGACCTCCTCATCCATTGCACTCCAGAGGTGCCGACCCCCGTGATTTCCCCAAAGGTGGGAAACTCGGCTGCGTAATTTGTGGCAGTGGGGGGCTGCGTTCACACTCTCCCCTAAGAGGGGAAAATCCCTCCTGCTAAATGGAACATGAGATGTTCACAGCCTGCATGAGAAGACCTGACTTCAATCCCAGCTCCGCCACTCATTCAGCGTGTGACCCTGCGCACATCGTGTCAACCACTCTGCCTGGGTTTCCTTCTCTGGAAATTGAGGTTCTGACCTTTGCAGCGGGCTTATGATGACATTACATTTATGAAAACACCTAGCACATAGCACGAATGTAATGTTTGTTGACTCTAAACCCACCTTGTTCGTCCCTTCATCTACACCACATTTGGCACCTGCCACAATCAGCTCATGATCTTGTCACACCTGGATTTAAAGCATCAACTCCTCCTCTTAGTCAATGACAACTCTTGGTCATTTCTGTGGCCAGCTGGTGGGACCTCTCACTTCCACCACAGCCATAACCCCAGAACTGCCTCCCTACTCATCTGTCCTGCCTAGACCCGCAGTGTTAATTACTATGCTCCTCAAAAATCTTCAACTTTACTGCGGGAGCACAAAGGTACCCATGGCAGTGGCACCTCCCCCTCACGCCCCATGGACCTGTTGAGCATGGTCTCTCCGAGCTCTGCAGCCCAAGTTCCCAGGCATTTGCCCTGCACTCCGGCATCTCCACGCGTCCGCAGGCACCACCTTGGAGAGGAAGCGCACATTCCTTCCCACTATGCCCTGACAAAATCAGTCTCGTCACATCTGCACTCCAAAGTAAGTTTCTTTGTAAGTCTGTCACTACATTTTTCTTCTTTCTTTGATGTTGAAACAAGCATGCCATTCCTCCGGCCAATTAGTAATTGTGTCTACCATCCCAGGCACTAAGCGAGGCACCAGGTTAACGGCAGTAAAGAGAGGCTTTCTACCCTCAAGGAGTCACCATCTAGCAGAAGCTACTGACTGCAAACACGGGCAGATTATGTATGACTGTAATAACGGTCTTTGAAAAACCAGGAGCGGCCTGGCGCGCCAATGAAAACAAGTTTCTGGAAACGCTGCGTCAAACCGGGCCTTTGGGTTTCATTGCATAGAGAAGACGACGACGCCTGAGGCATCGTCTGGTGCTCAGGGCTGGCTGAGCACCCCCACCAGTGGACACACGTCCTTCCGGAAAAGTCTCTCTGCTCGCCACCCTCACCTGGCCCGGGTCCAGGACCCCCGCGGCGGCCCCCTGCCCTCGGTCATCGGCATCGCCTCCCATTTAGCCGGTACGCAGAGGCACCGGGGGTCCGGAGCCTGCCTGCCTTCCTCGCCCCGCGCGCTCACCCTCGCCTTCGAGGTGCCCTGCCCCGAAGCTCCACACCCCGCGGCCCTTTGGCCTGGCCGTTCCAGCCCCAGCGTGTGAGCAAACGGCGCTCAACGGTCTCAGGGCGGCCCCAGGCGCTCCGCTAGCTCGGCGGCCCCCACAACTTCCCACCCCGACCACAGGTGATGGCCGTGCCCGGCCCCCGCGCGGCGCTCACCTCTGGGCTAGGGGGCGCCTCCCGCGCGCTCGGCAGCGGCAGGCCCCGAGCCGGCCCCGCAGCCCCCAGCGCCACAGCCCGGGCGGTCTGCGGGTCCATGCCCGGCGGCCCGCGGCTCCGCACCCTGGACGCTGCGCAGCCACGTGACGCGTCAGCCTGGCAGCAAGCCCGAGGATACGCCGCAGAGGGGGCCAATCAGCCAGGGGTGCTCCCGGCGGAGGGGGCGGGACACGCGGTCACGAGGGAGCGGGGGCGGGGCACAGGCGGGCAGCACGCGCCCAACCGCCAAGGCCCACCTACCAGTCCCGAATCTCATTTTTGTAGCTCCTACCTGTCCAGGTCCGAAGGCCGGACGACTGAGTCTAGAATGCCAAATGTCACCCCTACCCAGCTTCAAAACCTCCAATCCCTGTTACGCGAGTCCACTTAAAAATGTGTAAAGGTCAGCTGTAAAAACTTTTAGTGCAATTGTAGCTCCAACCACATTTCACTTTTGACCTTAGATTTCTCTAGAACGCATTCTGGAATTGAACAAGCGCTCACTCACGGATGGATGAGACAACACAGCAGCCCCGCGATTCTCCAACCTGAGTTACTGATAGTTCTTCGAGTTGGTCCTTTAGAAACCAGGACAAACTCCGATAATGTACTCAACACATTATGACACTTAGGCATAGTAACCCTAAAGAATCTGTGCTGACCGTAGACAGACCGGTGAAAAGATCGTTTTTTAATTGCTCAGGTCTGGCCCTCCACAACCTGAAGCTGGCAGGAGATAGGCGAGGACAGGCTTCACTGCCTCTCCCTACCCACACTGCCTAAACTCTAACGAACCGCCTCAACGTGTGATCATCAAGTTACCATTTAAGCAGCAGAAAAGCTGTAAACGGGGTTACTAGACCACGGTTAATACAATTTTCGGAAGGTTATAGAACCTAGTCCTTCATCTCCTTCTCAGTTATGTGTTGCTTGTAAATTACATGAAACATTTGAAAAAATTGTAAGACTTCGTACGTAATATTTTTTCTCTATGTAAACTTTCCTACAGAGAATGTGACTGATGAATGTGTGTCCTGCTCTGACACGAGTCAGTTTCCCCAAATCCAATTGTATTTATCTATGTCAACTCTGTCTTATAGAACCTCCTGCGATGGTAGGAATAAAAGTTCTATTATCTGTGAGGTCCAATATGGTAAACATACGGCTATTAAATACTTGAAATGTTGCCAGTATAAATGAGAAACTGAATTAATTTTAATAAATTTAAATTGCCATATCCAGCTAGAAACTATCGTATCTAACAGTGCAGCTCCAGGTGAACCACCTGCAATGGCGAGACCCAGACACAGGACGGTGACAGCCCTGGGGGACCCAGACCCAACCACCGCCCTCTGTGCTCTCATCTCTTTCCCGCAGTATGTATCTCTTTACTGAAGTAAAAATGCCATGTGCAGATTTAGAATGATAGACATCCCCAGAATTAATGAGAGAGGAGATTTTTCTTATTTTAAATCAAGTGACAAATATTTAGAGTACAAAAGCTCAAAAATGACCTAAAACAAGCTCTAATATTCAGAGGAATTTAATATAAAGGTATTATCACAAGTTAGCAGAGAGAAAAATGGCCACAAGGGTTTTGGAGGAAAAAACCTGAGCTGTCCTCAGCAAGAAAAGGAGGTTTTCAACAGTAGAAATCACATGGACCACAAAAAAAAAAAAAAAAAAAAGCAGCTAGGGCAAATTATTTGCAATAAAGAAGATACAACCTAAAGAGCAATATTCTTAATATATTAAAAACATAAATTAGTAGTAAAAAAGTTTTAAAAACTGTCAAAAAACATGCAAAAAGAGAACTAAGAAAACTACACTAACTTCATTAATGTCAAAGAAATGCACATGAAAACAATGATATATCACTTTTCACCTATTGAAATGGCAAAATAAATATCCACTGAAGCGAAAGGTGATGACATCTGCATACACTGCTTGAAAGTATTTTCATACATTGCAAATTGGCACTGTATATCAACATTCTTTTGGTAAGTTGCATCCTTTAATCCAGTAATTCTGTCAGATGTCAATCTAAAAAAATAACCAGGGATATAAACACAGATTTACAAGAATCTTCATTAACAGCACTTATAGTAAGAAAAAAACTAGATATGACAAGGTCCAATCATAGGAGATTAGTAAAGTAAGTCATGGTTCATCTATACAATGGAATGCTATGAATGAAATGTTTTTAAGGCTATTGTAATGATATGAAAAAATAACATTAAGTGAAACATAGTAAGTAAACTGTACTGAAGGCTTCTCCTGGTAACATCATAACATTAAGTTAAAGGGTACAAAATTCAAACAGCCTCCTCTGGTCCCACAATGCCTTTTTCTGCTCCAAGCCATCCTCCACTACTACCTGTGAAGCCCTTCTCTACACTTCTAAACTACTCGCGATCCCTGCCCTTCTTCGGTTGCCAGAACTTCCTGATAGGGGAACTAAAGACTTAAAAGATTTTAGCTTTAGTTATAGCTGATAGGCTTAAGCGGTCAGGTGCACCACACAAAGCTGTTATTCCAGGAACTGGAATGCATGACCTACCTACATGGCTCTACAAGGTTGACAAGCATTTCAACCTTTGTGCCCCATGGGGTCTGCAAGAGATGAGGTATCTGAGCCCTTTGCTCCAGAGAGTGAACGTCTGTGATGCAGGTAAAAAATTTTGATCAGTAGACAAAGAAATAATAGGAAAATCACCCCTGGACTACAACTCTCATCTGATTAACCTTATCCCAAACTCCTTACCTACTCTTTTTTTCCCTACCCTTTTTTTCTCCTTATTAAAAAGGTCAGGTTGAGATAAGACGTGAAGACAGTTTTTAGGGTACATAACCCACCATCTTTTCAGATCACCGACATCTAAATGAAGCACCCATGAACAGTCAATCCTTGTTTCTTCTTACTGGTTCTCGTAATGAGAAGCAGTGCAAACACTGATTTTTCCAGTTTCATTCCCACTGTAAACATTTCTCTATAGATCAGTCCCAGAGAGAGAAACTTTTACAATGTCTTATTCTTCTTAAAGGACAACTTTTTCTCCAATACCCAGCATTCTTCTCTGCTGCTTCAGCCAGCTTGCAGGACTTCGGCTCTGTTCCTCTAACCCCTACCTCCATCCCAAAAAACTTCCCTTCTCTCCTCCTTATGATGGGCATCAATGAATGAATGAATACATGATCTAAGAGGATAAATCCGATTCTGATCAAGGAAACCAAATTACTAAGTTTAACTCCAGATGGTATTACAGGATGCTTTTATTTTCTTTTCATTATTCTATTATCACATTTTCTACAGCAAATGCATACCATGTATACTTTTATAAGGAGAGAATAAACAAACAGAACTCTACTTTCTCCATTTCATCTAGCCCATAGGTTTAGATTAGAGAAATTCACCCCTGACCAGGAGTAATAAAAGAAATTCAGTTGTACAATTTCCACATATTTTGGAAAACATTTAGGACCTACAATAGATCCAGCCTTAACAAGTAGCCTCTGGCCACTAAACAGCAGTTCTTTTTTCTGGAATTAAAGATTAACACAGTAACAAAATTAAAACATGTCCCAAAATCTTGTCCACAAACTGCAGATGAATTCGTAACACAAACCTGCCCAGAGGGCTCACAACACCATTTCACAAAGTTAGCTGTGGTCTTCCTCTTCACAAATGGCCAGCTTGATGCATAGCATGTTTTGCTACAAACTCATCTGCTGACTCTCCCTGCAACATTTTCATAGCTCGCCAATATATCTGTCCGCAGTTCTCAGGTCTACCAAGGGGGTGGTTCAATTCTTCTTTTATGTAATCCATCCAAAGATCTTTAAAGGAAACCAAAAAATTACTATAAACATACAATTAGATAACTGTGAGGCTTTATTAGGTAAACTTAATTATTTGATTTCAATTCAACGCAAGATTTCTAAGAAACTGAACTTCTTGTTATTTCCATAGAACCATATGTGAAATACCTGTCTCATCATCTTTGCACTAAGGTATACCAAAACTATTTTTTTAAGTATAAAACTTCACTTTATCATGATATTCTATATATTTGACAAAGTCAAATATACTAAACATTTTAGAGGCAGGATTTTGTTGAGTCTCTTTCAAAGTGAAACTGACCTCAATGAGTTCACTATAACCTTGCTACCAAAACTTGTTTAGGCCAGTAAAAATGCCGTTTTCATGCATTCCTTCACAAGGCCTGTGGAAACCTCTTAAGTACTAATGTATTTTTTTAAATGGGAGTTTAACAACTATACATGTCAGATGTTACATAACGTACCTACACCCAGGAGTATGTTTTGCAAGTCCTATAAAGGAGGACAATGTGACAACAGCCAATGACAACTAATGCCAATTAGCATGACACTACCCCTTTGCTGTAACTCCCACTCCTTTTTGTTCTGACCAACATTATTAATCTTTCCCTTACAAATACCACATTTTTTAAAGAGAACCAAATCAAGCAAATCTTTCTCTAATCCACAGTTAATAAAAGACTCATGGACTCTTGAGCTTCTGAACTTGAAATTATAAATAAAATTATATCTGCAAGTATTTATGCCCAAAGTGAGGGAAGAGGCAGGGGAAAAAATTCGAGTTTTATTCTCAAAGACGACCATGTAAGAAACTCTTCTAACCATACTGATAGGATACAGAGCACATATGCAAACAGACCTGTGTATCTATAACTTAAGTTTACTTACCAGAATCTACAGATCCAAACTCTCTCAAAGCCCTCTCATAATATTCTCTTAGGTTCACCATCTTGCAGGATTCCTAACAAAAATAATCAGACAATCTTGCCTCAGAAACCTTAATTTATAATGTCACAAATTCATTTCAACCACACTGTTAAGCAGATACCATCTATCTATTAGGCATTTGAAGGAGAGGCAGGTTTGGCTTGAGATGACCACAGCCTGGCTTTCAACTAACCCAGAGTAAAGTCATATGCATTTACATCCAGAGTGAAGTAAATGCTAAACAGTGATAAAAAGCACTTTCCTATGGTAGCTTATAAAAAGCCTGATTAATTCTTGGTTGGACAAACATGGGCAGCTTCACGGAAAAGTGTATTTGAAAGCCCTAAGGGAGTAGGACTGAAATAAACGGAAACAGTTCTATTCCCTATGGCTAGGGGTTTCTTTCTCTTGAATATCTGGGCTCCAGCGCATTATTAGCTATTTCTACCTTAAAACTTTTTAAATCATGGCAAAGTATATATAAATACCAGTTATAAGACCTTCAGCAAATTTTTTAAACCTCTGACCTTAAAAGTTTCCTCACCTATAAAATAAGGATAATGGCATCTCAGAGTACCTGAAAGGATTAAATTAAAATGCTCATTAACTATATACCTAGCCAAATAGCTGGTACTAACTTCACAATAAATCTTAATTCTTTATCTCTGCTTCCTCTTAAATGTATTCTTTTTCATTTTCAAACCAGATTAACATCTTCAGTTTAAAAATCCTTTTGTGTAGTCAAATAACTAGTTCCTCACTCAAATTTCTCTTCATTGAGACTATTATTTTATTGAAAGTCAATTTAACTTACTATCTTACACATGCATGAAAATCAGAATCACACTTTGTTATGGGCTATCGTGCTCGGCATTGGGCAAACTCCTTTCTATCCAATATCCCCTCTGCCTTATAACCCTCGCACCCCTGAAAAGCATTATGACTCCTTTGAAGATGAGGATGCTGAGGCTTAGAATTAAGTGTCTTGACCAAGGCACATAACTATTATGTTATCAATCCAAAGTCTGGCTATTAATTATTATTTTATACTATTTCTAATGCCGTAGGACAAGAATCGATAATTGACCGACACAATGATCAAAACTATGAAAATAAAGAGTTCCACCTCTAACTTTTCAAAATTCAAATAAAAATAATCAGCACCAATCAAAATACCAAAATAAAGAAGAGCAAAACTGAATACTTGGAGAATCTGTGATTATCACTATAAATAAGTGTAACTCTTTTTGTAGAACTAGCTGGCAATATATAAACAACCATAAAAAACTAATTTATCCAGTCCTAGAAATTTATCTCAAGGAGATAATCGGAAGGAAAAAAAATGCTATGTAAACAAAATGCTAACAACACTGTTTTCATTATCAAAAATCTGGAAACAATCTATATGTAATGAAATAGGAAAATTATTGGTTTAAGAATAACGCTACAACCATTAAAAATGGTAACTGAAAACACAGAAATTTGTTTATAAAAAAATGTTAAAAGAGAAAGAGAACCTCCATATACAGCAATCAGAAATAAAACAGTATATAACTGTATGTAAGTAAACAAAAAAGGAAAGAAAACAATAAAAATACAAACAAATATGGCGGGTTGTGTTCCTATGATGAAAGTACAGATACATTTGGATTTCATGTATTTTTCCTCCCTCGCATGTTCCGTTACAGACACAGAAACAGTTACTGAGTGCCTGCTCTTTACCTCACAGCCCAACACAAGAGAAGGCAGGATGCTGTGGAGGCAGGAGGCGATGCCTCACCCAGCCTAGCAGGGAGGGCTTCCTATAACAGGTGACATCTAAGTTTTGTATTTTCCAGACAGGTACGCTCTCTTCTTTCCTTGATTACCATTCCTAAACCATCTCCATGAAAAAAGGAACTCGACAAAGGGACCAGAAATTTATACTGTATTATAATGAGAGCTTTTTAAACATCAAAATGCTGCCATAAATTAGTAACCACCAATTCTTTTTCCCAGACAATAAAGGCAGACAGGACACTTACTTGCTCCTTTTCAAATTGGATCATTTTCCTGAAAAAATCAACTGAAAATGGACGGCTTTCCTGTAAACTAAAAAGAAGGGGGCAACTGTTATCTTCCACAATGGCAGAAAGCCTCGTACATCCCATGCACATAAATACCTATGCCAGTGCCTCCATAAAACATGGTTTAATAAAGACCTGCCTACAATTCAATGCAAGGACTGGCCTTGACCACCAGTCACTCTCAATGCCTTCAGCTTCCGATGACCATCTTCACCACCCCCCCATCTTTCCTATCCAGTTTTCTTCCTGTTCTTTCTCACTTTCAGAGTCTGAAGTTCCCTCTTCTACTACATCTCAAGGTCTTTTGAAGGAGACCGATAATTCCACTTCTAAGAAGATATTCTAGGGAAATAATTTCCAACACGCATAAATATTTGTGCAGAAATGGTCATCAAAGCATTATTACTGTGCCACATAAGCCACACCTACCTAGCAGTGTATCATACTATTTTAATAAGGGCTGCTTATGAAAAATTATTACTGATAGGGAAAAGGCCAGTCTTAATGTTCACCAACAGAAGTGATAAACAAAATGTGATTATAGTATAATCTCATTTATGTGGAAGACAAATTTTAAAATAATATATCAACATGGTTTCTTCCTTTTGATGATGGGATTACAATGATTATTAGTTATCTCTTTTTTAAAAAATTTCCAAAATAGGTATGAACTGCTTTTACTCTTCCAAAAAAAGAAAATAAAACTTCTTGAAAAATTCTCTTGGATTACTCCCTCAGACACTATTTATGATATATATAATCTGGGTATGAGGAGCTGAGTAGAGTGGAGAGACTAGTAACAGTTAAGAACATTGTGAGTACCTTTTAAACACAGCCCTGGCCTTTTTGTAGCCACCACTTCGATAAGCCCAGTCCAGGTACTTATCCTTCAGAGTGATGGAGTCAGCACCCTTGACAGCTAAGACAGCTTTCTACAATTTAAACAAAAAAAGACACAAGCTGTGTGAGGAAATTTATAAATATCACAACAAATTTTCCCAGAATCATCCCAGGCTACTCAATTAATAGTGTTTTAGGAATAGCTGCTGTAGAAATAAGCCTAAAGCTAGCCAACTAGTAAACCTGACTGCTCATTCTGCACACACAAGACTTAGAACATAGGGCCTATACCTTATAGATGGCTTCAGTGTCTTCTTGGCTTTTGGCATCTTCACTCCACTCTGCCCAAGAAATCCACAATGGCAGGCAAACCTGCTCACAATAAGAATAGTTAGAAAATGACAGCTTAGCACTACACTCTGAAAACTAGTCACTATAAAGACAAGCTCCTCCTAAGATAATCAACACGTAAAATAAGGATTAATTCCCGGTCTGTCCTGTGACAGAATCCTTGGTGCCCAAGAGTAAATGACATGCCAGAACACAGTCTTCTGACCAAGTCCTGTTAATTCTAATTCCCTTATGTTGGGGGATGCTGACTATAGTTATTACCATCAATTACCTGTTAGTTAATTAAGCAATTAACAACCCACAGCTGATCAGACCCATAGCCACCCCGCTAACATCTCTGCTCTTTAAGACCCACACCACAAGCACTAACTATCTAGGCTGAACTATCTGATCTTCACTCATATCTGTCGCAGACGCACACACAAATTAGCAGTAAAATAATTAAGATTTTTTTTCCCACTTTAACTTCCAGAATACTTTTTTCATACTAATATAAAAGATTCACTGCAAAGCTTTAAGGTTTAGTGTTTTCAACTTTAAGGTTCAGAAACACATGCGTATTTAAAAATCAGGCTGAAGTTCAGCTTTGGAAGCAAGTGAGAATATTCTATTAATATTTCTCACTTGTAAGGCATCTAGATGGAATATAAGATTTTTTATAATTTAGTCAACTTTCAAATAAAGAATTAGAAATAGGACATTAAATGGAACTAAGTTCTTCTACTTTTGACCCTTAAATCATCAGCACAGACGTACTCTAGGGCCAACTCTCATCAGACAAGTACACTCCCAATAAGCTTTGGCTGAAATCTTAAAAGGTGTCCCAAATAGAATGAAACATAAAAGACCCAACTCACAGACCTGGGGCTTCAGGTGCACAAAGGCTTCTTCAAAAAGCATGGCTACGTCAGGGCTCTTTGCCTTAATCAGCACCTGCAGCTTCATCTGCCACATCATCACAGAGTCTCTAAACAGTTCAATCCCGGCCACTGCCACCTGCAGGGCTTCCTCAAGGAAGTCTTGATGCAGCAACAACTCAATCTAGATAAGACAAGGAAAATTAACGACTGAAAGCTAAATTATCTATGTGATGGGGAATAAATGGGGCAATAATTTCCACAGCCTCCCGTGACTGTCAAGCAGGCACAAAGTGCCCAATTTGGAATTCCTCCTCCACTCCCTGCTCCTTCTTCCAAGGGGAATCAAAAAATAGGGGACAGGTAAACAGTAGAGGGCCTAAATAATTTAGATTGAAAGTTAAGTTTTAATAAAATAGCTTACTACTGTATAATAAAACCCATACCCACTAAATGGAATATAAAAATCAGTAAATATTAAAAACCAGTATTTGTGGGTTGGTAAAGAAACAAGTTTATTCATTCAGAGGTGGCATACTATAAACTGGTGCAATTTCCCTGAAATATAATTTGACTTTATATAACAAGAGTCATGAAAGTGCTCATATCTTAAACTTGGGAATTATATTTTAACAAATATGACCCAACAAGTACATGACCAGAAGAAATTCTTATCTGTTCAAAATGCTTGTATCCACACTATTTTAACAGGAGTGGGAAAAACCAAAACACAATTATAAAATTGTGAAACAGCAAATAAATGACAGTGTATAACCCACTCATTCAACAAGCATCTTTACGGCACACTATGTTAAATTTAGTCATGGGGAATATCAAGCACATTCTCTACCACCCACAAAGCCCCCAGTCTAGCAACCTCATATATGCCCTGACAGAAAAGGCATCATGTGCTGCCGGAGTACAAAGCAAGAACACCCATCAAGGTCTATGGCAGTGATGAGAAAAGACTCCAAAAAAGGAAGGAAGATTTAGACTTAAGGAAGAGCAGGCATTAGTCAGGTGAAAGCAGAGATCCCCACCAGCATTTGCAAGAGGCTGAAGATGAGAGAAGCTTGGGGTGCAAAAGGAAATCCAAATTCAGAATGGCTGGATGGGTACAATATAAACTGGTGAACTGGTAAATGAGGTTAGAAATATAGGCAAGGGCCAAATTAATGAGACAGAGCAGCTTTATCCAAACAGTGAAAAGCCACAGAATAATCTGATAATCAATTTTAAAAGATCAATCTGTGGCAATTAATCTGGAGAAAGATGGATGGAGAAATCAGCAAAGCTTATTAAGTTCAGCGGCAGCATGTTGAGGGGACTCTCATTAAAGGCAAGGTAACAAAATGCGTGATTAGGTGGTAGGGTTCAGAAGGGCAACATGAGAGATTTGGAGAGCAGAGGATGTCTGAAATAGCCAGAGTGGTGAATGGCAAAATAAGCAATAATGGACAGAGAGCAGAACTGCCAGGACAATACTCAAAGTACATCTGGATATACAGGGTGTGACCATCTTGCCAGTATTCAGTAACTCAAACGGGGGCAGCTGAACTCACCCAGCTCTGGGATTTTTGCCAGACAGATACCACAGTGCGAGGGAGAAGGGTACCTCAGTAGTAGTAATAATATAATAAGCTAGTATACAGTATGTGCATTTATGTAAGTATATGTAAGAAGTATATTTTAATTTTTTAAAAAGATTTTGTTTACTTATTTTTAGAGAGAAGGGAAGACAAGGATAAAGAAAAGGAGAGAAACATCAATGTGAAAGAGAAACATCAATCAGCTGCCTCTCATACGTGCCCCGCCTGGGAACCGAACCTGCAACCCAGGTATGTACCCTGATCAGGAATCAAACCAGCACCTTTCACTTTGCAGGATGATATCCAGCCAACTGAACCACACTGGTCAGGGATAAAAACTTTTTTTAAATGTTAATGTAAAATAGAATACAGAATGGCAAATGTTAATTGTAATTCTATAAAAATTGCATGATGATATGAAGATATAAATCGGGAGTTAAAAAAGTTAAAGGAACTAGACAAATATAAAGATTTTTGTCTTTGTCCTGACTAGTGTGGCTCAATGGACTGAGTGCTGGCTTGCAATCCGAATGGTTGTCAGTTCGATTCCCAGTCAGGGCACATGCCTGGGTTTCAGGCCAGGTCCCCAGTGTCGGGTGTGCAACAGGCAACTGATTGATGTATCTCTCACACATCAGTATTTCTTTCCTTCCCTTCCCCTCTTTTTAAAAATAAATAAATAAGGTCTTTATTTTTCTTAAGATTTTTCTCCTTTTATGTCCAACAAAGGTATTTAAATACACTAACACATTCGTTATCTCATATTATGCTCTCAACAACTCTGTGATGTGGCAAAAACAAGGCTATCACTACTTTAAAATCAGGTAAACAAACTCAGAAAGGTAAGTGATTTGCCCAAGTCACCTAGCTATTAAGTGGCAAAACCCAATCTAGAACTATGTATCCCAGAGGACATTACTCTGGTCTCTGTAACAATCCTTAGCCATACCAGGGGTAGGAATGGGTTAATATGCCTCTTACTAGATTCTGAAACACAGGGAATGCATCTAATTTATTTTTATTATACCAATGGTTAATCTGGGTCAGACATTTAGATCAAAGGCTCAGGAAAAGGATGTTCAGTAAAAGATGGAAGGGTGGAGCCTTGGCCAGCGTGGTTCAGTGGATTGAGTGCCAGCCTGTGAACCAGAGAGCCACCAGTTCAATTACTAGTCAGGGCACATGCCTGAGTTTCAGGCCAGGTCACCAGGTGGGGGATGCATGAGAGGCAACCTCATGTTGATGTAACTGGTGGGGCAGTTTCTCTCCCACTCTTTCTCCTTCCCTTACCCTCTCTCTAAAAGTAAATAAATAAATAAATAAATCTTTTAAAAAATATATGGAACAGTAGACAAAAAAAATAAAGCTAAATTGTGACTCCTTGTTCTGAGTGTTTTTACTATGTAATATTCTTCCCTATACTGGTACAGATTTCATTGTTTACATATACCAAATACTGAGAGCCAAATGTCAATAGTCTCTAACAGCTATCACATCAAACTTCCAAATGGCCTTAGTCACATAACTATATATATAAAAATACATGCCACCAGCATGAACTAAAATTATGCAATTATCGCAGTACATGCGAATGACCATGAATGTGTTCATGTCCTTACCCACTGCTTGTATAGGAATTCTGGTAGAAGTTTGAGTTCATGTGCCTTCCTGAATGCAGTCATGGTTCTTTCCAGCCTCTAAAATCAGAAAAATGCCTCAGTTCATTACTAGGATCCCAGGAAAGGTTTTTGGCCTCTTCCAGGAACAAATGCAGTTTTGCACATTTCTGAGAACTGAGAGAAGGGGCCAAGGTGGTTTCATTTATGATTAGATGAATTGGACAGCAGCACCAAGCACAGCCCAGGAAGAGGGCACCTCCCAGCCCGGTGGCCAGGGTGAGGGCAAAGCAGACTCAGACCTTCAGGGTGACCGGTGACTCAAGGAGAAAGAGCAATTAAGCATGAAGTTCTTGGAAGCTGTCCCAGGTCCCAGAAGAATCTGTCCTTCTTTCCAAGGACAGTCATATTCTAGTCAGCCACTATAGCCATGTCCTTACCTTCCCTCTGAGGGACTGGCTATTTGTCTTCTTTGCAAACCTTTCCAAGCAAAAGTTGATGTAACACTTCCACATGGCCTCTGAAAAAGAAAGATTACACCAATCATATCACCAATTCTTAGTTTAACAATCATCATACATCCTTTCTTTGAAGGGAAAACTCTTCCAAAAAAGAGTTTAATCTGGTAAAAAAAAAAAAAAAAACAGAAGTTATTCTGATTATAGCCAATAAACCATCTCAAATACTGGGGGGAAAACAACGGAGTACTGACATAAATATAAAAATTCGGAGCCAGCGGTGTTATATATCCCCTCTACCTTAATACTCCCAACATTACAAAATTAGGAAGTAAATCTATGTCAGAAGATAATTAAGAAATTATAATTAAACAACCTTCCCAAGTACCATATTTTGCCATGTATAATGCACTCCCGTGTAAAATGCGCACCCACGTTTTTGGCCCATACTTTCAGGAAAAAAATCTTTTATTTTAGACTTACAGCCAAGATGGAGCCGTAGGTAGATACACTTTGCTGCCTCATACAACCAAAAGAAGAACAACAACAAATTTAAAAACAAAAAACAACTAGAACCGCAAGAAAATTGAACTGTATAGAAGTCCAACAACAAGAAGTTAAAGAAGAAACATTCATCCAGACCAGTAGGAGGGGCAGAGACGGGCAGCCAGCGTGGAGAGGACACGAGGCAAGGCAGCAGCTGAACGAATGGGCAGGCCAGGTTGTGGCTGGAGGTCCCACATTTGCATGTGGATAAACCAGGAGGAAAAACAGAGGAACAAGAAAGACCGCCTAACCCAGGGTTCTAGTGAAGGAAAAGAAAGCCTCAAAACCTCTAGCTATAAAAACCTGTTGGGGTTGTGGTAGTGGGAGAAACTTCCAGCCTCACAGGAGAGTTCGCTGGAGAGACTCACAGGGTCTTAGCACGTACATACACCCACCCACCCAAGAATCAGCACTAGAAGGGCCCAATTTGCTTGTGGGTAGTGGGGGAGGTGACTGAAGGCCAGCTGAGAGCCCAGAAAGCAGCATTGTTCCCTCTGGTCCCTCTCCCCCATACAGTGTCACAACACAGAGCCCTGGGTTACCCTTCCCTGGCTAATGCCTAAGGCTTCACCCCTTCTAACTTAATAGATGGGCTGAGACAAAGAAATATGGCCCAAATGAAGGAACAGATCAAAGCTTCAAAAACAGAACTAAGTGATAAAGAAATAGCCAACCTATCAGATGCAGTATTCAAAACACTAATAATCAGAATGTTCACTGAAATGGTTGAGTATGGTCACAAAATAGAGGAAAAAGCGAAGGTTAAGCCAAGTGCAATAATGAAAAATATACAGGGAACCAACAGAGAAGGGAAAGAAACCAGGACTCAAATCAATGATTTGGAGCAGAAGGAAGAAATAAACATTCAACATTCAACCAGAACAGAATGAAGAAACAAGAATTCAAAAAAATGAGGAGAGGCTTAAGAACCTCCAGAACAACTTTCAATGTTCCCACATCCAAATCATAGGGGTGCCAGAAGGAGAAGAGGAAGAGCAAGAACTTATTTGAAAAAAATAATGAAGGAGAACTTCCCCAATCTGCCAAAGGAAACAGACATCTAGGGAGTCCAGGAATCTCAGAAAGTCCCAAACAAGTTGGATGCAAGGAAGCACATACCAAGATATAACATAATTACATTATCCATTATGAGGAGAGAATCTTAAAAGCAGCAAAGAGAAAAGGAGATGTTACATACAAAGGAATTCCCGTAAGACTATCAGCTGATTTCTCAAAAGGAACCTTACAGGCAAGAAGGGGCTGGAAAGAAGTATTTAAAAGTCATCAAAGACAAGGACCTACACCCAAGATTACTCTAGCCAGCAAAGGTATCATTTAGAATAGAAGGGCAGATGAAGTGCTTCCCAGATAAAGTTAAAGGAGCTCATCATCACCAAGCCCTTATTATATGAAATGTTAAAGGGACTTATCTAAGAAAAAGGAGATCAAAACTATAAACTGTAAAATAACAACAAACTCACAAGTATCAACAACTGAACCTAAAAAAACAAAAGCAAGACAAACTAAGTAAACAAGAACAGGAACAGAATCACAGAAATGGAGATCATATGAAGGGTTATCAGTGGGGGAGGAAAGGTACAGGGAATGAACATAAATGGTAGGTGCAAAATAGACAGGGAGAGGTTAAAAACAGTATAGGAAATGGGGAAGCCAAAGAACTGATATGTAGGATCCATGGACATGAACTAAGATGGGGGGGGGGGGCGCGGCGCGGGGGGAGTGCTGGTGGGAGGGGGGTACAGGGCAGAGGAGAATAAAGTGGGGGAAAAAAATGGGACACCTGTAATAGCATGTTCAATAACATACTTAAGAAATCTTTTGTTCTAATTTTTAATTTGAGTATTTATTTACATTTAGATACTTGTTTTTTGTGTTATAAAGGATTTTAGCCTTTATTTTTGAACATATGGGTATCGTTATTACTTTCTAGAGTTTTAATGCATAAACATAAATAAAAGAATTAAAAGTATTTATATAGATACGGAACTAGTACTACCCATGTATAATGTGCATCCTTAATTTTCCCTCAAAAAGTACACATTATACATGGCAAAATATGGTATCATCTCCCGCAAATCTAATGGACACATATATACCACTACTGTCAAGCAAGGTCATAAAAGGTCCATCTTTCACCACCAGAGAAAGAGCAAGTTGGAAAGCCAGGCGCACTATAAACTACCAGAGAGGTTCCTACAATCGATTTCTGTCATGGGAATGGGAGCTTCAGTCTCACATTCATGACCACATTAAACTGCATCATGGTCTGGCGCAGTTTACCTGTGGGGAGAGTCTTTACTGCCTCTTCGTACACAGCACAGCACCGCTCCTCCCTCCGGCCCACCTCCTCTGCTCTGGCTTGTTTGGTCGCAGGCGGCTCATCCCCGGGCTGTGACTGGATCTCTAACTCTCGCCGTGCCACATAATCCCAAGTGAGAGGGTCATCTGTGTGCATGGCTTGAAGGCTGAAAAATAGTTTCCTGGCATGAGCCCTATGACATGAGACTAAATCAGAATATCAGAGAGACAGCTCTAAAATGTACCCTATGCTCTAAAAATGTACCCATTTGTAAAAAGACACCCTTTAGCAATTCCATTACCATAAATAGGCTCTTCAGATGTCTTCACACACTGTATAAATTTTGTCTATGGATCAGAGCTGTCACACATTTATTAGGTTTCAGAATGTTTCAAAAAATCATTCACAAATGTTAACTTTCAAGTCAAATCAGCAGGGAGGTGTGATGAGACAATCCTCCTTGAGCCCTGGACAACCTTATTATATCCAGCCTCTTGCTCTTCTATAATAAAGGCAGAGAAAAAGGAACAACCTAATCCTCTACCAAAACCATGGAGATGTCAAAAGAGAAAACTGATTCAAGTTCTATTTTATCCCCTGTGAAAGTAAGGGGTACCACCTAAGAGTGAAGTACCCACAGGCAGGCTGCAACTAATTTTCAAACCATGTAATCAGACATTAAAGTATAAAATCACCTGCAGCACTCAAACATTCATGAGTACAACTCTTATTTAATGGACATAAGACACGCCAGCAAAGCAGAAATATAGATTTTTATAAAAGCTGTAGGATATACCAGGTATTGAATAAAGGCAAACTATTTTCCAAGGAAAGCCAGTAAGTGAGTCGACTCTTACAGGAATGTATGTTTTTAGTAAGATTTATTACAATACAATGGTCCTAAAACTTAGCTTTCCTCCAAGGATATAGTGTGGTATCTTTCCCACTTTCTAAATATCCAACCTCAAACCCTTACCACAAAATAAGAGCCATATTCACCTTTCTACCATTTTACTTACTCTTCATAAATTTCTCTTTGCAGGTCTTTGGCAAAGTCAAATAGCTGTGCAATTGAAAGTAGTGACACGTGAAACTCTGCACCTAAAATTTTTAAAATAGGGGAGGGGATAAGACTCTAAAGTATCCCTTTTCGCTGATCACCACCTTCTTGATGTGCTGTAATTTGTTTTGATTGAGAAATAGGAAAAAGGACAAAAAAATTACCCATAGTCCCATTACACAAAGTCATTGTTAATATTTTCGAGTATTCATAAGTACTTGTAGCTTTTATTCTAAACTTAAGGGCATAAAAGAATGTAGTAAATCATCTTATTTCTTTTCAACTCCCCACAGGAATTAAGTACTAAGTAAAAACTTACTGAAATGTTCAAGTACATCCCTAAGGGGCAATAAGCCTTCTGAAAGAAACAGGACATTATTCCTGCAATCAAAGTTTGATGCAGATTCTAACAGGATTTCTAACAGAAATTTTCATAATTAGCCTAAGGTCTTCCTCATCATAAATAGAGACTGTTTGACTTTCCCACCATAAATAAATTTTCAAAAGATACCTACCTTTAATTATGCTTACAGAATTTTTGTAGATGATTCGTGCCAACTCGCCCGTAAGGATTTCTTCAGGATAATCAAGATTTTCCTAAAAAGAGTGTTGTATTGAACATAACTTAGCAATAGTGCCAGTAAGTAGGAAAAGCACTGGGAGGAAAATGAACAGCCCTAGGCCACCCTGCCATATGACCTCTGGCAATCACATCTCTCTCTGGGGCAGTTCCCTCCCTTGCGAAGTATGTAGTTGAACAAGACCACTGATCTTGGAACACTGTTCTCTCAGGCTCCTGGCATGGTAGCAGGGTCGCTCGGCTTAAGATGTCTCTCTCCATTTAGGCCAGAATAGATCAGCTTTTACATGCCCTGTTGACCCTTTTGTGAACTTTATTTGTATAAAAAATTTCAGAGCTGGAAACCACGGTAACAGATAATAGCAAAGTTCCTTATTCAGTTCTAACATTCTAAAACTTTTTTTAAAATTATTCTGTCACATAAAAAATTATATAAAAAAGGAGGCTAGAAATGACATACATTAATCAGTTGAGCTCCTTCAACCAATTAATACGTCATTTCATGAAATCATTAGAGTATTAGAAAGTATTAGAATAGCATTGAGCCATTCTATTAGTAAAAAATTTGATGACCACTCTAATTAGTCCAAATGTCTATTTTTAAAGCACAATATTCCATTTTTATTGCTAAGCCCATTTTGTTAAGTCAATTCTAGGCTCATCCTTAAGTCTCAAAATATGGCATTACATTGGAAAGAAAAACATGTTCCAAAGATTTTCTCTTACTCCTCAGCAGGCTCAAAACACTATTCATTAACAAGCGACAATACATTAGGATCTTACCACATCCATTTTGGCTTTTTCGAATTCTTGCTTTTCCTTCCTCAATTTCTCAACATGCATCAGCTCCATCCTAAAGTACTACAGAAGGGAAATGATGAACTGAAAAGCTTGGGAGATACTTTTTTTAATTAGAAACCCACAAGATGCTACTTTTTTACCCATGATTATTGGATCTGGAAACAGTTTGGGGGCAGTGGTATATTTGGTATGAAACTAGTCAGCACTGACAAGAGCGGAGATCCCTGCGATCATGGAAAGTTCTGTATTTTGATTGCAAAGGCTACACAAACCTACACATGTGGAAAAAAACAGAACTATAGGCACATTATACCAATGTTAATTTCCTGGCTTTGATACTATAATTTTATAAAATGTATCCATCAGGGAAAACTGAGTAAATAGTACAAAGGACCTCACTGTTATTTTGTAACTTACTGGGAATCTGTAATTATTTTGACATAAAAATCAATGGCAAATATGTAATATCATGTATATAAAGAGAAACTAATGTATGATTACCATGTGCTGTAAAGTTGACTTGTCCAGAATTTTTAATATTTTAATTCTACGTTACAAAACATATTAAAATGACAAGGTTTTTTAAAATATTTAGCCCTGGCTGGTATGGCTCGGTTGGAGCATCGGCCCATGAACCAAAGCGTCACAGGTTCGATTCCCAGTGGAGGCACACACCTAGGTTGTGGGTTTGGTCCCCAGTTGGGCATGTACGAGAGGCAACTAATCAGTGTACCTGTCTCTCATCCATGTTTCTCTCCCCCTTTTCCTCCCTCTTCTCTAAAAATCAATAAGCATATCCTCAGGTGAAGATTTAAAAAAAAAAAAAAATGGCTGCAAAATTTTACATGTAATACAATTACCACTATGTGAAAAATTTTGCACAGAAAAAAATGCACCAAATGTTAATAATATTTGTCCTCAATCAGTCAAACTTATTCCCTCTCAGTGCTTTTGCTTTTTCTCCAAGATTCTCTATAAACATGTTACTTTGCTGGCATAAAATAAAAATATTTAGTTTTCTTTTTTAATGTGATTATTAGAACAGATAATGTTCAAAAGAGTTTCTCAAAATGTGACTTGGGACTACCCAGGGGTTCTCGACGCCCCTTCAGTGGGTCTGCAAGGTCAAAATTATTTTCGTAATAATACTAACATGTTACTTGCCTTTGCTCTTATTCTGTTAAGAGTTTAAAGTTTTTCAGGGGCTATATGATGGATCCTATCACCCATACTGAATGCAAAAGGAGATGTGAGGCCCTGGCCAAGGAGCTCAGTTGATTAGAACATCATCCCAATATGCCAAGGTTGCAGGTTCAATCTCTGGTCAGAGCACATACAAAAAGCAACCAATGAACACATGAGTAAGTGGAATAACAAAGCAATGTCTCTCTCTCTCAAATCAATAATGATTTTAACAAAAGGAGATCTGAGAATCCAGCTGTCCTCTACTAGGTCAGATATGCAAGGGATTAACAAAAATGTGTAATAATGCCATTCTTCTTTTAAAACTTTGTTTTAGAGGAGCTATTTTCATTTAAAAATAACCAATCTATATTAACATACCATGAGTTTGTTTTTAAATAAATAATTTTAGATTTCTTGGTTTTAATTTTCTATAAAATAAAAACTGACAGATATAACCCATATAAACAAAAGACCTTTGAGGTCCTCAGTAATTTAAGATTGAAAGAGGACCAAAGTTTGAACACCACCAACACAGATCGAGGCACACAAACATGGAACTACATTCATGATATATTAGGTAAAAATACAGAACACAGTGATATGTAGTATAATCCCCCTTTTCAGAAATAAAACCTATTTTAAATATCTGTGATAGGCATAAAGTATGGGTGATAAGATACTGTTTCTGCTACTTTTTCACTGAAATGTTTTTTTCTGAACTATTTATAATAAACAAATTCTAATTACTTTTGATAAGAATAAGCAATAAATCTCTTTTCATTTTGGAAAACACAGGTACGAGCATTTATGAAAGCCTCCAAAAAACATGCAAAATAGTAACAGCATACAATAACCCTCTAACAGCAGGAGGAGGGAGTCTTACAATAGTTTCTCAGTAAGAATATTAAAGGCAGCAAAGCAATGTCTAACAGAATGTGAAAAAAATAAATAAAGGGATGAAAGACAACATTATAAAACATCATTAAATTACTACAAGACCAAAAATATGATTGGGACAGCTATAAAACTAATTAGAATGAAAGCAGTATCTTTTTTCCCTCAGCACACAGGCTTAATTTTCATTTAAAGACTAAAGAGCAATTTCTCCCTTATCCTGACAAATAACTTAGAAAAGAGTGCAGTTTCCAGCAACACACCATTTCCAGCATTTGTGTGGTTTTCTTTCAGCAAAAGTAAGGCCATCGATATTCTAGTGTACACCTCCCAGGGTGAATACGTCTACTAAGAGGGGAGGAAGGAAGTATCTATCTATCTCAAGAGAGACAAAGAGCCCTAGGTGGTGTGGCTCAGTGAATTGAGCACTGGCCTGCGAACCAAAGGGTCACCGGTTCGATTCCCAGTATAGGGCACATGCTGGGGTAGCAGGCCAGGTCCCCAGCAGGGGGTGTGGGAAATGCAACCACACATTGATGTTTCTCTCCTTCTCTTTCTCCCTCCCTTACCCTCTCTTTCTCTTTCCCTTACCCTCTCAAATAAATAAATAAATAAAATTTTTTTTAAAAAAAAGAGAGACACAAAGAGACTGAGAAGAAAACGAGGGAAAAAAGAGGAAGAGAAACCAAAAGAGGGGTGGAGGGGGTTGGGGAAAAAAAGAGGAGGGAGGGAAGGGGGGAAAGAGGGAGGGGAAAAAAATAAGGACAACAGCATAAAGATGGCTGAACCCTGGCTCTCCAACTTAAAAAAAGGCCCAGGTCCATATGCCTCCCAACCATAACAGGCAGGTAGGAGTTTTAATCTCTAAGAACCTGGAAGATGCACATGGTCAAAACCTACTACTGACCAAAAAACACCTTCCTGGCCCCCTTTCTACAGCAGCTCCCTGCCAATTCCTAGCCTCCGTAATTCGAAGTCCTTTTCACTTAAAGAATGTATGTCTCCAGAGGACAAAATCAAGAAACCACTCTGTCATGTTATGCACAAACACACTCACTTCTTGATAAAGTTTTGGGCACTGAGGATGAAAGCGCAGAGCTCGAAGAAAGAGTTGTCTTGCACTTTCTGAGGACAAGCGATCTTCCATTTCCCATTTGGCCGCCATAATCCACAAAGCTATAAATGAAAAACATCAGACTGCATTTTAATAAATTAATCAACTCAGGCAAAAAAAAAAAAAAAAAAAAAAACCAATGCTCTAATTTTAATACTCAAAAGAATTTTTTAATCCTATCAAAAGAGGAAGGAAATGGGGAGGAGTTCATAATAGTTGTCTGTAAAGAACTGTTGCTTTATCTAAAATTACAAAGAGTATCCTAAAGGAAATAGGTAAATGTTAATATTTGAGAGTACTTATTATGTGCTATTACTGTTTCATTAGATCTAAGGTCAGCATCATTTTAAGTTACATACAAATTTTAAGTGTTGAAATGCTGAAAAAAATTATGCACCTTAGAATCAATGAAATAAAATTACTTTGTTCTCTTCTCTGTATTTAAAGTAGTTCATAATTTTTTTTAATGGCTCATAATTTTAAAAATATTTTTACCATACCTACTGGAAATAAAAACTTAAAAAAAAATAAACTTTTGTCCTTCTACACGGGAAAGTAACCTTGAGTTAGCATCCTAACCATTTCCCTAGAAATTTAATAAAGGTGACCTATGTTACCAGGCAAGATTGTTTTTGGTAAAAATGACCCATGATTGGTAACCACATCTGGACTAGGAGGGCTGTAAATGGTAGAGAGTGACTGCTTTGGGTTTTCTTGAGCATGTGATCCCTGAAATTGAGCCAGCCCTTCGTAGGATCCTTGGAAGCTATGCCCATCAGGGTCTTCTCGGGCTGAGTGGTTCCTCTATTCACTCTTTCCCCCACACCTGAACTGTTACTAGCCTCCCAATTGCTAAGAGTCTTCTATTGAAGAAATGGACCTCAAGCTGCCCTGCTGTATTCTTCTAAATAAACTGGTGCTAAATGTAGCCTATGAGCCTTGTGTATTGTAAAACGTCTGGTTGAGCCTAATACTTGAGAAAAGGCACTGGAGTTACCTCCGCTGTAAACTCATGTACCACTCACACAGCATACACAACAGAAGTCTCTCTTACAAAATATGAGCACCCACTCTGTGCCAGGCACTCCTGTAAAATCTTTATTAATCTTTTCCCCCATAAGTTTCTGAAATCCCTTAAATATGACTGCCTTCAAATAGAATGTCCCTCAAAGGACCAGAGTTTCTTGTACCATTAACTGAAAATCAGTCTTACTTGCCCCCAGATATGACACCTGACACAGTAACTAGTACACAGTAGGCAGAGACGAATAAGCAGCAGCTATTCAGGAACCAAATCTGCTGAGGCTAAGTGCCTAACCTCAGGTTCACAAAATAAGTTCTTTTAGGTTTATCAGGCATTATAAATTCCAAAATAGTGTGAGTCTACATAAAAGGTAAAAAAAGAACTGACAAGAACCTCACCATACCTGGTTTGTTTGAATGAATAGCCAACATGGCAGAGAATACCTTGCTAAGTTGAGCTTTAGTAGCCTGAAAAGACAAAGAAAAATTATACTTCTAACACAGCAAAATCACTGTTACTACTCTCTGAGTGATCTGTCCCGTACCATCACCAACTGTAAAATCCAATAGGGCAAGGTCTGGTACGGCCCGGGACTTATAAACAAATATAGACTCATACTTGTTTATAACTCATAGTTTTCTCCTACCTACACCTCATGACATAAACATCCCAAATATCATAATGAACCAAATACACATAAAGGTTATTTTCTTTTCAACTGAAGTGAAAGCCACTGAGTTATTTAGATATGCAGAGTTGTTACTCTGATGGTCAGCCTTCTTGGGTTCTTTTTCCACTTGTTATCCCTTCACCTTTGGAGAAAACATGGAATTCAGCACTGAAGCATGGGGCTTAAAAGGCCAACTAACCAAAAGAAGGAAAGAGGGAGTAAGACACAGTCCGCCAAATACTCACCCATTTCTTACAAAAGACTACATAGGATAGCCAAAGTTGAACATCATCCTGCAAGAAAAGCATTGAAGCTCTCTGAGTTTGAACTGTATATATAATACACCTTTGAAACAGAAGCAGATTTCAGAAAGTCTACTGTTATACAACACCCCTCAAACTATTAGGCCTTAGATCTCTTAACCACAGTAACTCAGTCTGTTACCTACTCCCACCTATCATGCTCCAAGACAAAATCTGTGGTATATCCAATCCATTCAATGTAGTTTTTACAAGGCGTCAATCAAGAATAGCAACCCAAAATTTGTCATTCCCAAGAATCCAAAGTACTTCCCATATAACATGTCCCAGTCCCAGAGCCAAATGTGAAGAAAATCAAGTTACTGAGATACTGCCCTTATCTAACCATTTATCTTCCACAGCCAAGTCTTTGGTATACTTTAGAAATATATACAAATAAATCCCAGACAATTTTCTGATCCTTAATTATGTATCAAATCCTCACAGAATAACTATAAGGTAACAAGATTAATTTTCTTAATGGTTTGATAAGTGGTTTCAAGTAATGATACCATCATTAGAATAAGTATCGAGACACCCAAGATAAGAATAGACAACAATACATTTGAATATCCAACTCATAATATGTAAAATATATTTCTTCACATTTCTTACAGTTAAGGAAACTCTGATCACTTACTTTCCACTTGGCTGAAGCGCGCCGGAAGACACCTTGCACTCGGTGTACAATAGAACTCTCAATCTCATCCTTCTTAAATGAATATCCAATGCGCTAAGAGGGAACATAAAAAACAAAGCCTCAGTTTAAACACATTTATCCAAAGCAGCATTTCTACTTGATTATTAAACAGTACTGACAGAGAAAGCAAATAATTACAAATATCCATTATGAATACACCAGCATGCAATTTATCAACGCGAACGGCTTCCCAAACCCAATGCTAGCTATAGAGCCACCCTATTTGATTCTACGTATTTTTCCAACCTCCAGAAAATCATCTACTTACAGTTCTCCTTCTCTGGATCAGCTCCAAAAGATTAATTTCATACTGTGGAAGAAAAACATAAAAAAAACAGAAAAACAAGGAAAATCATATCCTTTTACATGTATAGGAAATATACTTAGTTAAAATCATAAAATAAAAAGATTAATATAAAACAGAAGATAATTTGCTATTAAGAAGCATAATCTACAGTAAATGTCTAGCATTCACTGAAAATTCACCTTACAACTGCAAAATTCAAAAATATATATATTAGCAAGCATATAAACAACTTACCTACAAAGAAAGCATTTTACTAAAATATATTAGTTTTATAACATCAATCTAACTTTCTAGTCTGTATCAGTGTATTTAAACTTTTAGTAATTGACCTTTCAAAAAGGTTAGCTGATGCACAAGTAAAACAAGATGCCTAATTGGCTCTCTCTACTCCCCTGTAAAGATCCACTTAGAACCCCTAAGGCTCTCTAAAACCCACTACTATACAATTCTTCTCTGCTCCTTGGCTTAAATATTATTAGAGACTGAAAGCTCAGAACCTCACAAGAGTGCACACTTCATTTTAAAATTTTTATGAAATTCTTCAAGAACATGGGACACCCATGTAGCTAGCTATACCACACTGCTACACCAAAGTCTACACTTACCATATTTGCTTCAAATCCTATTTAGAAAGAAAAGATTCAAATAAGAGTGAAGCCCCACTATGTACCACATTTGATTCCACTCTTCTCCCTTCACAAAGGAAATGACGATCTTGATTTGATTCTTTATCACTCCCAAGCATGACTTTGGACTTATTACAATGCTGTTTTGAATGCTTTCAAACTTTACATAAATGGTATCATACTGTACCCATCACAGCATATTTTTACTCAGCATTGACTCTAGATATACTCCTATTGACACATGAAATTGAAGTCCATTCATTTTAACTGCTATATAGTATTTCAATGTATGAATGTGCAATTTACCTATCCTTTCTGGTGATGCATATTTGTTTCCGATTTTTCTATTACAAAAAGTTGCAATTTCTTATACATATCTTATTGTGGACATATCCAGGAACTTTTCCAGGCTATACACCCATATCCACCACTAATATGTAAGCTGTTCAAGGTAATGACTTTTGTCTGCCTTATTTATTCTTATACTCCTACTGGATTGAATCAGTGCCATGAACTGAGTTGGTGTTCAGTATGTACTCTATGGCTGAGAGAATGAAATTGCTGGGTCGTAGAGTAGACCTATTTTCAACTTTATGAAATATTACCAAATTGCTCTCCAAAGTGGTCATAGCAATTATATACTTACAATATCAGTCTTTAAAAACATTTGCTAATATGATGGACATAAAGTAGTACCTCACCCTGGTTTTAATCTATATTTACCTGATTACTAAACAGGCTAACATCTTTTCATAAATTTATCAACAAATGATCTTTCCCCTTTGGAAAGTGTATGTTCACATTTTTCCAGTTCTTTTCATTTTCTCTCTAGTTTTTTGTCATTTTCTTCTTCATTTGTAGTTCTTTATATAATCTAGATCTTAATTAAACATGTTCCAAATATTTTCTCCCATTTTGTGGCGTGTCTTTTTACATTATTTATGGTGTCTTTTCTACACTGAAATTTTTACTTTTAACACAGCTAAATAATTTTTCTCTTCATGGTATGTGCTTTCAGTCTCATTTAAGAAATTTTTCCTTACCTGAAGTCATTCTTTCATAGTTTTTGCAGATTTAGAAGTTTCCCCCCTACTTTTAGCTTGCCAATTCAGCAAGAATTTATTTTTGTGTATTATGTGAGGAAGGGACCTAACTTTTTTTTAATGTGGGTAACTAAAAACTCGTTTTAAAATGCCACTTACACCTCATAGCAAGTTTATATGGTTGTGTTCAGGTTGGGGGCGTAATATATATTAGTGTTTATTTGTGGTTTTAATCTCATTTCAGTTGTGCTCTTTTACAACTAAGCAAATCAACCTAATTCACATATAGCTCTGAAATATTTGAAGAGTGAAATGATCTGCCACTTCTTAAGTCTCTTTAAGGTTAAACATCTCTATTTTCTTCAATAATTCCTCCTAGAATGCGGTTTCCATCCTGGCTGCCTTCCAACCAACCTCTCAAAGTCCTTCTTAAAACATAGCCTTGAGCCTAACAGTACATGTGCCAGACATGGTCTGGTAAGGGTGCAAAATTCTTTTCTTCAAACCAGCATCTTCTGAATGCTTACCGTTTACAATGTCCTCTGCTAACTTACCCAATACTCTACTTTTGTTAATTTAATCAATTAGATTATATTTTTTGACATAATATGCTCATTTTTAATAAGCAATCTACTATGAGCCCTAGGACCTCTTCCAAATACAAGACTTAGCCAGGTCTCACATATCGTTTGTTTTTCATTTAAGCTTAGAACCTTTTGTCTTATAACATTTCATCTTGTTGCTGGGTTCTTTCTGAATCCTGATTTTGTCATCCAACATACAAGCTATTCTCTCCCATCTGAAAATAGGTCTAGCATGTATATTTTACCTTCACTTAAATCTTCCATTCATTTACAGGACTGAAGAGTCTTGCAGTATACCTCTTTCTAAGCTGACAGACATACAAATACACAAGTATTAACTTTCCAACCAGCTACTATCACCAAATTCACTCTCCTTTATTTTTCCCCACACAAGATGGTTTGTCAAATCTCTTCCTGAAATCCTGACACGATGTGTCTTTGGCACATCTCTGATCCCCTAACCCCATAAAAGAAGAGAAAAAAAAACATGTTCAGTTTGCCAAGAACTGTAAAGCCTTAAAAGCCTTATTGGAGCAATGCTATTGCCAAACCACCAGCTTTTGTTCAGAAGTTACCTGTCTAATCATCAGTTCTAGAAATCTGTTGAAAATTGACATCAAGCTGGCCATTCTATTATTAATTTAAAATCTGTGAGATTAAAAGGTAATGAAATTATTCACTTACTTGAACATAATTGATAAAGTCTTCCTTACAAAGAGCTCTTCGTTGTATTCTGTATTCTAGATCCGAAGCTTTCTTAATGATAGCCCTGAGGAGAGAGCCACTTAAAATATAACTCTTGAAAAGAACAAAACTTAAATAACTTTGGGGGTTTTGTTAAGTTTCTTAATTTTTAATATATTTAAGACATTTACCAAAACATGTAATTCCCAAATAATTATTCTTCATAACCAAGTATTCTCTTATAGGATTACTTCAGTGTTCTTAAGGACATCAGGATATACTTTAAAGCTTTCATGAAAATCATCTTAATTGATTGCCAATCACACCAGAAACGCAAAAAGTACTTTACATTATATACATGTAGTATTAATGAAGATTTCTCTTCCTCCAAATTCAGGTCACTTAAATTTTAATAAATTTCTAAATTCCTCTTGCTTCAGAGTTCCCAACACGCAGACTTCAAAAACAAAAAACAAAAACCTTACACTGTCTCTACCTAGAAAGGTTTATTATCTCTACAAAGGGCATATGAGAGACGATTCACTATATTTAGCTAAGGAATGAACACACAACGTGTACATTAGGGGAATTTAATACAAGATATGCAAGACCAATAATTGTCTCTAGTTAATTGTAACAACAACATTTACTGAGCCCTTATGTTGCGTTTCATTAAAAATGTTTAGGGATCCCACAGTCACATTACTAAATTCAGTCATTGTAAAATTAAGAAATAGTCGCAGAAAACCATTTAAAACTATTAAGCTTAATTTTAACAAATTACTGAATGCCAGCATTGTGCCAGACATTGTTGGCTAAGCCCCGGAGTAGAATACGGAATTGAAGTAAATGGTCCCCATCTTCAAGTCTTGTTAGATTTATCTGCTCCTCCGAGGCTCCCTCGGGTCTCTTTGAGAACATCAAAACGTTTAATTTGCCTGTTTCCCCCACCATACACAAAGAAGTTAGCCCCTGATGGGCAGGGTCCCTGGTTCTACCACCTCTACAGCCCCAAGACCTGGCTCCATGAAGAGCTGTCAGTGTGTTTGGTGGGACGGATCACCTTGCAATAAAAAGGAATTAATTCTAAGCATTATCAAAAATTAGAAATGAGCTTCCGCTGCGTGAAGAAAAATAAACACAACTCAAGCGCTCCCCATCCCTGCCCCCGCCACACACACACACACACACACTTGCCGGAAACCTCCTCCCTGCCCTCCCCAGCCCTTCCCAACCCTTCCTCTTTCTCAGCTCACTTAATCTCCGCATGACTGAACAGTCCAATGCGCTTCAGCTGTTCCAATTCAGGGAGTCGATCTTCTATGCGTTCCTGAATTATCTCCGCCATGAGATCCAAACTCTAGAACCCAAACGAGAGCTTCTCAACCTCCAGCAGGCGCTAGAAGCGCCCACTTTCTATTTCGGAGACGCAGGCCTAACGCTCGCACGTGCTGGCGTAACGTGGACTCTAGGTCCCGCCTTTTCCGTTTCCGTCTTTGAGAAGGCACTGGGGCACCTGCGGCCGCTGTCTCCTCCATGTGGTTGACTGTGGTATTGCAGCGAGGGGCCCTCTCTCACCTGAGGGCTCCAGGGAACTGGAGTAGAGGGGCGGGCCGGTAAATCCGCGGGAGGCTAGACGTGGGCGGAGTTGGGCAAAAGCGGCTCTAGGTTTGTAAGAGTTACCTGGTAAGAGATGTGAAAAGGCATTTTCTACAAAAAAAAAGTGTCACCTTTTATTCTGCTCGCTTCCCGCATCCTTGCTTTCCAACACCAAGAATCTCCCCCCATATAAAACAAAGGATAGAGGGTATTATAGTACAGGGTGGGCAAAAGTGAGTTTACAGTTCGCATGGAAAATAATACAATAATTAATAATAATATAAGAATAAATCCTGTTTCACATACTCACATCTGTAGACCTACTTCTGCCCACCCCTGTATAATTGTAGTAAACATTTCAAAAAGTCAGTAATGAAAATCGTAAGGAACGTTAAAACTGACCAGGCTATTCAAAGCACTATGTCTTTGCTTTTGGCTAGATTTAGTAAACCAGTATGATAACACTGGTTTTTCATGTGCCAATTAGAGCCAATAATTGGCTGGTTAATTTTTTAATGGGGAGATATTTTTATTATTTAAATAATTATCCTTGCTGTACAGGATAAGGTCTTTCAAAACTCTTAGCTCTGGGTGGACATCAGAAACTTTTAGAAAAGATTCTGGTACTGAAACGTTTGTGAGTTACCAAAATAAATCAATAAACCATTGCCCAAACAACTTAGCATTTCTAAGAGAACCACCAGACAACCCAACTTGGAAGTGACATTGTTGGTGTAATTACTAAACTCAAAATAACTACATGGCTTAGTTCTTTCTTAAGATGGTAAAGAACCAAAGCAGGAGTTCTTGCTAGACCTGTTTATTTCAAGATTCACAGTAGCACCTTGATCCTCTGTGTGCTTTATTAAAGAGGAATAGGCTTAGCATTAACTATGTTCCACCTCTGTACCTTTCTTTTTTTCCCTTCCACATTTTACCCTACTGGTGTCAGAATCGAGGCAAAGGTTGGCTTGAGCTTCCTCATTTCTTAATTCCCTCAGCTTTAAGACACTAAGGAAGTGGAAGGAAATCATGGAGGTAAAATAAAGATGAAATTTCTTTGTGATAGGAAAATCTCTGTGGCTTGTATTAACAGTAAGAGTCGGGGTACCACTAGTAAGCTCCATACGGGCAGGGAATTTTTATTTTGTTCACTGGATAACCTGGGAGCTTAGAACAATGCCCAGAATATAACAAACACTTGATGAATGCATAACAGAATAAGAAAAGGCACTTCATAAATTTCTTTAGGTACAAGAGAGCCAAGAAGCTCAGAAAGACTGTAATCATTCATTTAAAGGCAAACTTGACAACTGTGATTTTTAAATCAATGCAACTATAAATACTCTCCTCTTTTATTTTGAAATGTAGCTTGTATGTTTATCTTGCTCGAAGAATTACTATAATGATAATGGTAAAGGTTTCTTTGGTCTCTTCTGCATCTCATAATAAGCTATTACTTATCTAGGATTTACAATGCCCGACTACAATGGGCATTGTTTTGGTTCCTTATATATTAACTAAGCTGCTATTACAAATATTTTTAAATATCAACCCAAGAAGAAACTTTTGAGGAGATAAAAATCACCTGCTAGATAAAGTCCAATACAGCAGAAGAAACCAATGTTTGAATAAAGCCCACTAGGTCTCAGAATACTTGGCTGAGCTCACCTTCTAGTTAGGAACCCTAGGGCTAGAGAAGAGGTTCTCTTGAGTGTGGAGCTCTAAGGTTCTCCTTGTAAAGCTTGACATTCCTTTTAGTGTTTTATTTGACCTATAAAATTCACCATAGATGGCCGATGAATGAGCAGGCACTGACTGGGAGGGGGCCCGCGGGACACTCTGTGTGCTGGAGATGTTCTGTACTTGTTCTGGGTGGTCCTTATATGGTTGTACATGCATGCGGAAAGCTATCCATTGAGATACATACTTAAGATTTGTGCACTCTATGAAAGTTATACTTTGATTTAGAAGAAAAAAAATCAATGACCAGACCCTCTCTTTAAGGATATCATTTCTTTCAAGAGCTTTATCTGTATGGCAGGTTCAAAATATTGAAACACAGGTGACCAAAACCTCCTCCCTCTCCAAAAGAGTTCATGTGAATTTTGCATCCTAGTCCATGATGTATTACTATTTGTTTTAATATAAATTATTGTTATTTTTCCAGCTCATCAAGTAAGATTAATCCCAGAAAGGTGTATCCTTCTCACCCCATTTGGTGCTCATGAACCTGTCTAGAAAACAGCCACGAGGGGTCTCAGTTAGGGTCCCGGGACTATCTTTCTGGGAGTCTGACAGATGAACAGTAGCCAGATGTTTGCAAATCAAGTCAAAACGCCTGTTCTGGCCTTCAAAGTATGAAATGTAAACTTCTAAATAACTTGAACTTTCCTTTAAATATTCATTACCATATCTGAAGATTAAGTTCGCAGATAGCTCATGGTTAAAAACAGCAGGCAAAGAAAGGCTTATCCATTATATTGATGATGATGATGATGATGATGATGATGATGATGATGCAAAGAAAAGGACCTAATTTCAATGCTAATTCACCTGGAATCCCATCCCCCTACCTTGCTGAAGTACCCTGCCTGCCTCTCCCACACAGAGAGCACTAGTACACTTCAAAGTCAGAGTAGAAGTGATAGACACAGACTAGTCTTTGATGCCTAAGAACATCTGAGCCCGCTGTTTGATGCGAATGCAAAGCATCTGTACTTTTCAAACCTTTCATGTTATCTCACATTGCTCACAACAAAAGCTGAAAAGTTTGAGGTGACACACATTATACACATTAAAATATTTGGAACCAGGAACTTTTCATTTCTTTTTCTATTATATATAGCTTCTTTTACTTTGCAAACCACAATGGATGGTAAATTACTTCTGGCACGCAGCCTTGTCAGCTTGCCAAATTTCAACTGGAGCAAGTTTTTACAGCCGAGCTAATAAGCCCTGAAAATTAGGAGGTAAGTATAATGGAAATAATGGCATGGTCTTTAACTGCAGGAGCATAGAATGACAATGTGAGATTCTAATAGATTCTACTTTTAAGTTTTTTTATTCTAATGAAATCTTTAAAAACTCTTTTAGGTTATTCCAGTTCAAACACATGTAAATGGAAAGAGTTTCTTTTAATTGGCAAAAAGCATTTTTGTGGGTTTTTTCCTGTGGCTTAAGTTATTGCTTTTTGCAAACTCAAAAAAAAAAAAAGAAAGAAAGAAAGAAAAGAAAACAAGAATATAGTAGTTTTGGGATAACAACCTACTATTAAAACAAACTGACATCTTGAAAAAAACATGTTCTGAAATGATTGGCCTGGCAATTGTTTGTGTATGAATACATTTCGTCAAAGCCATAGCTGATTAGCTACATCAACTTTTTTCCAGTTTGCCCCCAATCCAGACAAAAACCCAGTCCTGCTTAAATATCTTTCAGGTCTTTATTGAACAAAACTTCAAAAAATTGAAAATAAATATCACGTTTAATTTTCATCACTGAAAGAAATAGGTAGTATCAGTTGTGAGGTAACACCCATTTCTCTAAATTTAATTCCCACATCCAGTCCCATTCACAAGTGACAAGGAAAAATTCTTTTTCCCCTTCTCATGCTGCCCTCCAATTAGACCTGGGCTGATTAGCCTCAGCATCGCATGGTCAGTCCCAAAGTGTTTAAGCAAAGAAGAGGTTTGGTGTTGTGGTATGTGTATGTGTATGCGTGTGTGCATGTAACTATACAAAAATAGTATGGCCTTGCTCCATAAATGCCAGCTTTCTTATACCTCCCAACCATTCTATATTATTTTACACACATTATTCTGTGTGTCTGGAATGTCTTTTGTCCTCTTATTCACTTGGCAAATTTAGCTCATGAAAAGAAAGGAAGCCTGCCGTTAACACCACACCACCTCACCGTCACCACCAATTTGTTTTACTTTTCTTATACTTTTATACATTTCTATAAAGGGCTCTGTGTTTAAATCTCTTTTTCCCTCTCACTAATTTTCTACTTTTCTAGGTGATCTCATCAGGCCATGACATCTGTCGGTGCTGTCCAATGGAACTTTCCGTGATGACAGCAATGTGTTGTGTCTGCACTTTCTGATATGGTAGCCACAAGCCCTAGGTGGCTATTAGAGTACTTGAAACGTGGCTAGAGCACACGAGAAGATGGACTTCTAATTTCATTTAATTGATTTCAATTTAAATTGCCACGTGTAGCTAGTGGCTACCACATTGGACAGTGCAGATCAGATGACTTCCACATTTATAGCACCAGTCCGTGACTGTCCGTGGAACACGATTCATGCCAGTACACCCAGCCGCCTACTCAGCATCTGTACTTGGAGCTCTTAAAGGCATTTCAAAATTAGTATGTCCAAAATCAAGCTGCTGATGTTCTCTCTCAGAATCTGCTCTTGCTAAATAATCTTCTCCATCTTGGTTAATGGCAATTGTATTTTTTCAGTTTCTCAGGCCAAAAGCTGGCTCCACATCTAATTTGGTGGGAATCCTCCACAAAATATAGCCAGAAGGTGTCTTCTCCCCATCATTGCTACTGCAATTATCCTAGTGAAAGCAACCATTACCTCTCACGTGGACTATTGCTATGGCCTCCACCTGGTCTCCTTACTTTTGAGTCTATTCTTTTTCTTTTTCATGGTAATAGTTATTATATTTTTTCAATATCAATTAAGAGCTGATGTTACATGTAGTATCTTATTTTGTTAATATTGCATAGCTGAGATGTGTTCTATTGTTTACTTAACTACTAATGATGTGAAAGACCTTAGAAAAGTCATTTTATTGTTAATAAAAGGTAGCATACATATCTATATGCAAGACACCAT